TTGTCATAGAGATACACAAAAAATACGTAATTTTTATTCCAAGATTGAGTCATCCAAAGAGGCCATGTGGTCTTGAGCTGAAAGAACCCTGCTCTGTTTTGGAGAGGCAGCTGATGTTCTGTGTGAGCTTTCAGGCTTTTGAATTTCTACTTGTGAAATTATATTGTCAATTTCATCAAATATATTACATGTACAGAACGTCCAAAGAATGATACCAGGTTCTCAGGGGGTTTAAAAGATAGTTGAGAAGCCAGGTCATCTATGAAGAGAGATAATGTACCAGAAAGGGAAGCCTGAGTATCAAATGCTGGTTCGGTGAGAGAGGGCATCACATTTTCAAAGCATGTAAAGCATGAGATTTTACACTGAAGTCTCTCCCCATATACATCTTGCCATATAGTTCTTTTTCTAGGTGGCATTACAAATGACTAAAGAACAAGGTGAGGGAATTTCTTCACAGTTCTTTCTGATCCTCTTTTATAGGGTGGCAGATAAAGGCATGAAAGAGAAAACATAATCTAGAAGCCTTTTTTCCTCAGAAAACCCACATAAACAAAAGGTACTGTATAAACACAGATACTCAAAGTTTATTATGAACCCTAAAATAAAAAAGACAATCATTAAGGTGTCAATTATTGCCTCATAAGTTTAAGCATGGAAGTCTAAGAAGACAATATCAAATCCCAAATGATCAAATTAAAATTAAATAGGTGGCACTGAATGCCTCTATGTTTAAGTAGATCAAAAAATAACACTGTGAATTAGAAAGAGGAAAGTAAGGTATGGCAACCATAAGCTTATGAGGCAAAGTTTGAGTATTTGTTGATTCCACAGTACAGCAGTCAAGAGCCTTCTCTGTGCAAATGTCACTACCAACATGAAAGACTGTATCTTAGGACATCAAGAAAAGAGATTAAAGAATGTGATGAAAACCTAGAGATGAAGCATGAATAAGATGCATAAACGTGTTTATTTATGTTTTAGAATAAGGTAGATTTTTAAATGTTGGAAAGAATCACCCATGATTTTATTTTTATTTTCATCAGCCTCTCAATGACAATTTTAAGTTCAGACCATACAATAATTATAGGATTTCCCCCAATGAGTTCACCCAACTATCAACCTTCATAAATACTTAAGAGCTTCAGAAGTGGTTTTCTGCCTTTTTTACTTTTTAAAAACCAATGGTATTTCAGGGAACTATATTCGATAGCTTATAATAACCCATAATGAAAAAGAATTATGAAAAAGACTACATATATGTATAACTGAATCACTATGCTGTACACCAGAAACTAACACAACATTGTAAACCAACTATACTTCAATTCAGAAAATCCATTAATAATTTTTATATTGCTTACATGTTAAGATGATAATATTTTAGATATGTTGGATTAAATAAAATATATTATTAAAAAAACAAGAAAAATCAAATGGTATTTAAATGCATTTAAAAACTATTACGTGATACATATAAGCTGAGAAAATATGTTCATCGTGGGCTCTTTTTTAACAAACAAGTTGATGAAAATGATACAGAAAAGAAAGACTTTATCCCTGTAATATGTAGTCAGAGATCATGCAGCACCCCAGTTTTAACCAAGTACAGCTCACCTAGTGCCACTTACATCCTGAATGTACCCTCCAATATGCTGACTTGAGGTGGGCTAACAGGTAAACAGTGCACAGGAAACACGGTGGGGGACAGGTGGCCGAGGAAAAGTCCCATAGCCCAAATGACCTTAATATGAGGCTTTTCCTTGATTTTCTGTTTTTTATCTATTTCATGTTAAAATATTTCACCTGTTTATCCATTTTGCAACATGGCAGGTTCTGATATGTGCAAGATAATATCAATAATAATATTTACGATTTTGAAGAACATCTTAGAAAATATTTTGGTACTATAATGCAAAAGGATCAGCTATAGATTGTGTTCGTTCACAAATAAGTGGTTCTTTTTTTTTTTCTTTTCACTTTAAAACACCACCTAAATGACTTAAATAACCATAGAGAACTGTATCACATGCTTCTATGTGCTCTTACACTCTAAGGTTTTTGAGCGTAGATTCATCACTAATTCAGTTTTGTGTCCTCAAAGCACCTAGGACAGAACTCTCCCTGTAAATATTCAATTAATATTTTTACCAGTACATTCAGAAGCACTCTTATTACAACCAAGAATTCTATATAAAGAATCCGATCTGTGTTCCCAATAGGTTGCTCATAATAACAATATTCTCTTGATATAATTATTGAGACTTCTCATAAATAAGCCTAAACAACAACAAAATATTCCTGTTCTTTGGCTGTGTACTTGAAAAATTCAATTAACCAGAACCTCAACTAGGGGGAACTTCCTGCTTAGCAGCTGTTTATCCTGCATACCAATTCTCAAAAAGATGTCAGCTTAGAAACAAAAGCTACAAGTGCTCATTAAAAAGAAATTTATATCAATTATTTATTCAGCTTAAAGCTATCCATTTGATGGTATTATAGTTCTTTTAAATGATTATTCATGTTTTCAATAATGACCTTAAAGAATCACAAACACTCATATTCTAAACAAACCCCACCTTATATTCTTATATTTAATAAGGAAGAAAAGCAGATCAACACAGATCAGAAAATTTTTTAAAAAAATAGGGTCTTGTAGTTAGCTTTTAGTAAAGGTAAGCAAAAGAAGTTCAATTAGCCATTAACATACAAAATAATGGACTGAAATATTTCTGTTGACCATAGTTTTATTTTACTATGAAAACATCAAAACACCATTAGCCACAAACCTTGAATAACCACAGCCCTTGCCCCCACCTCCACTCCTGTGGGGGTGTTGCCCTGATGGCTGAAGAAATTTAACAGACCCCAAGAGAACCTGCTGTTCAACATAGAGTAAAGTGATACTCCCTTTCCCTGAAGATAGAAGAAAAGCCCAGAAATACTTTTAACAAGTCACCTTGTTAAAAGTTGACCTGTTGACAAGCACCAACCCCCTCCTCCCCAACCCTGGTTGGGCTACTCCATGACTCCCGCCCTCTCCTTTACCCCACGTTGGTGGCCACCCTTCTGCCGGTACCTCATTTTATTCTGCTTAGCGCTCCACCCCTACCCTTAGAAATTGCCCCCACCTGACTTCATTTCTCCTCTTGCCTAACCAAGCCTTAGTTTAAGCACACCACTCTGGTTTATCAATCGTTTTAACCACAGAAACTTCTGTAAATCTTTCTACTCAGCAGCCTTTAACATCCTAGGAGAATTTAATGTAAAGCTCCAACGATCTATGCAGGTGGTAACGTATGGTGTAAATATATGGTTACCTTGTCCTGATGCTTAAAAAAAAGTGATCTCCCCCAAATGAAATTTTTGAATCTAGAAATAAATCAGAAAAAGCCAATGCTTATTTTGACAGTCTATGTTTAAGCTGTTGGCAGTCATTTAAAAAATAATTTTCAATTAATTTGAAGAAAGGTTGGCAACATGTCTTATTTTACTGAGTACCTAAGTATAGAAACCATTGTATAGGGACTGTCAGGATACAAAGATGGATGAGTAGGTAAGATATGGACACAAATAATCACAATAAAAGACAGAAAATATGATAAAGAGGGACAGGCATGTAGAATAAGTTCTAAGACAAATGAGATTACACCCAGCTGTAAAAGTTGGTAGACTGGTATCTGTGGTGGTCTTTGAACAATTTAAGCAGATAGTTATCGGTGGAGGGAGGAAAGAAATGGCAATGAGAAGGAAGGCCACAGGGCGAGGAAACTGCAATCACACTAAGAAGATGGGGATTAGTCTGACCTGGCCAGAGAGTAGAGTGCGCCCTGCCCTGCATACTGAACATGGTATTTTGGACAAACTTATAAAGGAGAGAACTAAAGCCACAGGATTGGAATAGAATTCAAGGGGAAAGAGGGATGAAGAGAAAGAAGAGAAAAGGACCAAGAACAGGTAATTAGAAATATCTTCATTTAAAGGCCCTTCATGTCCTTGAAACTATTCAGGAAGCAATAAGACCATTCCTGAGTACCATACTCTTTTATAAAAGGCAGAAGGGAGAAAAATCAATTCAATATCAGTCTAAAACCAAAGAAATAAATCATTCAGTATGTCAAGTCTAAATTATCAGTATCTGGGAACACCACCTAACTATCACTAAAAGACATTTCTTACTCTGTTCAGAAGATAAACTGTTTTCAGCTATTAACTCGTATCTAAAATGATGCCGAACTCTGTAACTCATTTCCACACAAGGAATGGTAAGGTGAAGGATCTGTTTAACTAAGTCATCTAATTCACAAAAACAAAAAGATGGCTGTGAAGACCTTCATGTGATATGCTTCGATCTAAAAGATCTACTGGGAAGTTAAATTACGCAGAACAAAGTAAGAACAGCAAAATTTTGTAAGTTGCTTTTCCTACCAGACTTAAAGGAAGAAAAGACTTCTAGTCAATACACTCCATCAAGCTCGCTGACCTCCCAGGTGCCTGAAGTCATCTTTGAATCTCAAGAGTTTGAGATGCTATCTGGCACTTAGGCTTCCTATGAATGTTTTGTGAATGAGAGAAAAATGGAGAAAGAAGGGCCTAACAACCAATATTTCAGATTTACGTAGCATAGGTATGTCCTGGGGCCAGGATGCAATTGTAACATTCAATGTACTCATGAATGATGTTTCAAATTATATCTCTCAGAGTCCATGAACCATCAGAAAAAGACTGAGCTCTATTTACTACACTATACTTTCTAAGGTTAGGGCTAGATAATGTACAAATAGGTATTTTCCAGTAATTATAATAGTTTTTCCACAGAACCCTAAAATGAATGAACTGGAATTATATTACATTCTTCAAACATCTCACTTAGTTCTACTAGATATATATTGAGTTCCAAAGGCTCTAATTCTGGCAGTTTCCATAAGGAAAGAATGCCAGTGCTTAACAGACTATAATTGTGTGACTGTTCGACCAGGCAGAGAGATGATTCTTCTTACCTTTATGGTTTCAGTGGGGACTCCAGGCTCTGGAACTTTATCCAAATAAGTGGTCAAGTCTTGATCAACATGTTCAAACACTAGTGTTAGTTTGGTTTCTCTGTCTGTTCGTGACACTGTGCACACATCGAACAACCTAAAAGGAAAGAGAAAGAGGTATTAAGTAGGTGGCAATAAGCAAAGAAGTAACCTGTAAGTCTTACACATATCCCTCAATGTGATCATGTAATTAGGAAAAAAAAAAAAGAAAGGCTAGGATCGATTGCTCCTTGTGATAATATGTAAGGATACCTAGTAGGCTCTGATACTTTAATATCAATATGAAAGTTCAGGAGAGGAGCACTTGGTAAGTGGTGACAAAATCCAGGCCGGCAAAGAGAAAGCACCAAGACTGCAATGTGAGAATGTCTGCTTGGAGAGTTTCCTTAGTTAAGATCTTAGGTAGAACTTGCCGATGGAGAAAAATATGGTTCTTAGCTCACAGTGCAAGAATTCTTAAAGAGAGAGATTGAGCACTCTTGGGCGATGCTGGACTCTTCAACTTAGATTTTCCTGGAATTTAAGGTGTTATAATCACGCCTATGAAAATAATTATGATGGAATATGGAGAAATTTGGTTTATTTCTAAGGGAGCCTTCTCCTGCTGAATCAAATCACTTCTCTGGAAAAGGCATACATTCCTAGTTTTAAAATTCCAATTTTCATGCTAATCAAAACTGTGGAATTTTAACTTGTTTTCTGGGGGCAGGAGGGCAAAAACTGCATTGGTAAAGTATATTACCCTTAAATGATAAAGACAGATTGGCAAACTATAATTATGTTTGGATGGGCGAATTCAATTTCTCCCATAAAATTCTACAACTAATTCAAAATTTAAAGTTTAAAAAACAAAGCTTTCAGTAGTCAAAAGAATTTTCAAGCCAAATGACAGACTTGACTTTAGCTTCAACAGACATACAATACTATCTGTACAGGAGATGCTCACCGAACATTTGAAGAATTAAACAAACCACCCATAAACAAGCTGTAACTAAATTTCTTGACAAGAATGTAATATAAATACTAAGAAAAGGCTAATAAAAGTGCTATTCATATTATTTTCTTTCATTTAAAAAATTAAATACCACTTTCTTCAAAGAAACTAACTATAAATGTGCATATATAACTCAATTACTAAAATGCAGGGTTGACTCTCAATTATCCACTTTGTATATTACCTCTGTTAAATTTTTAATGCCTAGCTGGTCACCATGCCACCCTACTGCATTTCTGAGCTAAATGGGCCCCACAACATTTGGTACTTCTCTGTAAATCTAAACTGAACTTTCAAAAGAAACTTAAGAACACTATAATTAAATTAAATCTGATGGGGTGACCACCACCGACCACACATACTTCATTGCCAGATCCAAGCTCCTTTTTAATTTTGAGCAGCTTGGGATAAGTTCTATAACTCCATTAAAGTCAATTAAGATCAACTGAATTTCTTCCTTACATTTATCTACTTCCAAATATTCTGACTACTAAATTCTAGCCATCTAATTCTAAGCTTAATTTTTCTCTAAATTTCTAAGGTCTTCAAATATCACTAATGTGACCTACTCTGAAAAATTATTCTGATAAAGTAAAAACTCCTAATTAACAAAAATAATGCCATAAGTCAAATGCGTGCCATACTGTGAAAAATAGGATTGCTGTCATGCATGGGTCTGACAGCTGGGTAGTTTATGAAAACAACTCTATCAATTTGGTAATTCAAGGTAACTACCATTTATTCATAGACTCCTTTGAACCATCTTCTTCCCATTAAACCAACATACTTTAACAGCTTTACTTTTTCCTTCCTTTTGAAGAAGAAAAAGGAGTTCCACAATCACTGAGCTTCTTTATATCTGTTGCTTTTATTTTTGTAATAAAGTAAAACAGCAATGAACTAAAAATGGTTTGTCCTAAAACAAATACAAACATGGGAACTGCATCACTACAGCTGTGACTCTTAAACATTACTTTAAAAATATTTTCTATCATAATGAATACATTTCCTTAGTAAAAAGAATATATATATTGTTTATCACTGCCTCTGGTCAACAAAGATTTTAATAACTCCAGTTCTTACTGCATGTATGATTTGTAACACATAAGACATTTTGGTAATTTCCAAAAGAAAAAAAATTTGACAGAGACATAACTAGAGAATGAAGCGATCATAAAACACAGCTAAACCCAAAGGTCATCTGCTCCCAAACCGTTGTCCGTTACCTAACAGCCCTGGCAGCAGGCTGTGTTGCTTCATCTCACTGAAACCGTTTTCAAACACTCTGTGTGACACAATTCAAGAATAACATCTAACCCACCCAAGTTATTTTCCTCAGAGTTATATCACTCTCTTCAAAATATTAAGAAGCACTATTGCCACCTGCCGCATCCAGACCCCACACCTGAGATATGCCACGGCGAGCTCCCTGAAGCCACTGCTCATTGCCCTACATGATAAGCCAGGGAGAAAAATGCACTAATTTTAATTGGCAATTTTTTTAAAAAATGGAGTTTTAAAGATATACATTTAAAGCCACATACTTAAAGAGACATAGAATAGAACATTCTTGTATAAATTTTAATATATAAAATTACACATTCTTCCAGGCTACAAAAAGAACAGTGTTCGGTAGAAGCGGCTCATGCTGGTTCAAGAAGAGAATCTTTTTAATTTTTTTAAGGTGCCGTTATCAACTTCATCTGGGAAATGAAACTCCTTATAGTCTTCTTAGAAATTCAAGAGTGACATCAAGGGAAATAAGAGTCCCAGAAGAACCTGTAGGTTCTGGGTTCCAGTGCTGGCCATCAACATCCTATAGACCCAACGCTCCACAGAAGACAATTTGGGAAATATTACTCAATACTAAGCCATGAAATTTTGTCTGACCTAACTGTTTAGTAAACACTATCATGGTAAAATTAAGTTACATTAGTCATAATGAGTAGAAAATGCATTTTGAATCAACAGTGATAAATACTAATCTTAGGAATCTTAGAACATAATATTTATGATGCTTTCTTGTCTACAGTGACTCTATCTGGAATTACCCCAAAGCAAATAATAATCACTTTGGTGGACAATAAAGAGAAGATAGATGCTTTAATATAACAAATAAGTCTCACATAGAGCAACTGTGCTAAACAAGAACTGAAATTCCCGGTATTTGGCAGGAGGTTAGCGATCTGTAATATATTTATATAAATCAATGAGGAATGTGGCCAGGCTGCCTATAACCCCTACAATTGCAAAACAAAAGAGCCAGACAGGTCTGAACATTTGAACATAAACACTGGAAAATAACTTCAACTGTTTGATTCCTTGTGTTGACCAACATCTTAAAACTTTCTAAAACGTTTTTAGTTTTTTGCTATGCAGTAAACCGACAACAATATCATTTCAGTGACTGCATGACTGCAGTTCCATAAAAGAAATATAATCACACTGTGTTGAATATGAACAAAAATATCTCCGATGACTTTTAGAGGAAATGAAAACTACCATTCAATGTTTATCCATTAGAGCTTAGCTTAATGTGATCCAAGTGAATGTTCAAAAAGTAGAAGGGAAAAGTGGTTCTCAGCATTCGCGGAGTCTGTGAATCAAGTTTAGCTACACAAAACACAATTCAAAAAAGGCAGATAGGTCATTATCATTTCATGATTAAGTCAGCCAAGCCCCTAAATATCCCATAAAGTCAGTCCTCTCCCGGTCTCTATTGTCCTGACCCCTCAGCTGCAGGGCAGAGAGCAAGCACTGCCGTCCAGCACAGCACTCAGCTTTCCAGCTGTCCTAGTGATGTAATTATCTCATAACAAAATATCTCCACGAATTAACTCTGCATCCTACCCACTGTAATTCTTAATGACTGCTTCCTGTTCGTGTTCTCCATTTAACTCGCTATTCTGGATCTACTGCATAGGCAAGTTGTCTTCATCTAATGGATGGGATTACATCCAATAGGTTTGGGATTTCCAAAGATTACAATTTACAAAGGTCTCCCAAACAACATGCTCTGTAAACACAAACCCTGCCTTTCTATTGTGGTTATAATAAAAGGGAAATCTGTATTATTTGCTGTGATTAAACTTTGACCTGTCACAGGAAATTCTATAAGGAGTTTTTTTTCCTGTCACTTTTTTTTCATACTCTTGAATGTCTGGACATCAAATACTCCAAGGGCTATGAGATGTCTGGCACAGCTACCTAGGGATGCTAAACAAAGTTTATTTGAACTACAGCCAGACTTTGGAATTGAGAAGAATTAAAAAAAAATCTGTGGTCTCCTCCTCAATAGTTCATAAAGCACATACTGTGGCTATAACTTGCATGCACCAAATTTATTAACATATCCCACTAACCCTACACACTACTGGATACTGGTCAGGGTGTTCTCTTTCTGCTCATTAAATACAAACTGCATGTGCAGTTATTCTCAACTAGCACTGAATGGTACAATTCCAGAACTACTTGCCACCGACAACGAGTGTCTTGCTAGAAGGAAATCACCATTTCAGCAGCATCTGTAAACATTTCTCAGGACCTACTACGTGCAGGCACTGTACTCAGTTTTAGAGATTCCAACAAATCTAAGACCTGTACTGTTTTTAAGAGCTTCACATCCAGTTGGGGGAGAGTAAAACTACAAGTAGTGATACACGGCTATGTATTTATTCCAAATAAATTCTACAAACACCATATGAAACTTTATATATCAACATCGGAGTAAATTCATCCTGCATCCATCACAGTAGACGTCTGTGATGTCTGCCTTTCCTACATCCATTACCGCTTCTGGAACCATATCCTCATTTTCTGTTGAGGAGCCACTCCTTCCCCATACTCAGGCAACATCGTCGTAGGGGCACAGGTGCAGGATGGCATGTAACCCACCCTGGACAAAGAGTGACAATGACTGATTCAGGGATGGACAGGACCATGAGAATCAGTCCCAGGAATTCTACTAGAACTTCTGGGAAAGTAGAGCTCTCTTTATTCTGGGATTACCAAGCTGGCAACAAAGAAGCCTGCAGCTGCTGGTGGCCGTCTTTGCCACCACTTCAGTGAGCCCACCATGGAATACAGCCAAGACCAAAGAGAGT